AGGCTAACCATGACAAGTCGCTGTATGAAAATATCCTGAAGTGTTTGTGTACTGGTATCTTTTCTTATAAAATAGGCTCGAAATAGCTGTGTCAGAAATCCAGCGCCCCATCTCGTGTTAGCATTAGGTCCCGAGCACTTCGTGCAGCAGTTCTCCGCCTTTTGAAGCTTGCTGTTGCCCTTATACTGGGTTACAAGTGAAAGTAAGGAAAAAGGAGCATGTGATCAGCTTAAGTTTAAACCACATCAGTATTCTGTTATTGTACATCTTATATTATTTCTTCGCATCCTCTCTTTCCGACTGTCTCAGATTTCTGTGTCTCTCAGAATTCGCTGCTCACACATTGACGTTTCTTTTTTCTTTTGATTGTTTTTACACGCATCTTTGTATATGTGGGTTTTTTGCGTATGTGTCAGCAAGATTTGCGCTGCGCATTGGGAAAGCAGAAATTGATTTGTTGTAACTGTTTCTCCACAAGTGAGTTATTTTTTTTGTTGCAGTTGGAAATTTGCCTTATAGCGCACGGGAACAGGATGTGGCGAATTTCTTCTGGCAGTGTGGGCCGGTGACGAATGTCCGCATCGTACTCGATCGGGACACAGGTCGACCACGTGGTTTTGGATTCTGTGAATTCGAAACCGAGGAAGCAGCGGAGCTAGCCATTGGCAGTATGAATCATGCTGAGTTCATGGGGCGCCAGCTGCGTGTGGATCGTGCCATTTCACGATAAACGGGCGATCGATATATGTGGTGCGACAATTTGTTGTGATCCTTCTCGTTACAATTATGATTTGACTGGACGATGATGAATTACTACTACTATTACTAATGCATTAAAAAGGATGTCGCACTTTGTTAAATCTTTTTACTCTGAAGCAGTTTCACATTATTAATCGGTCAATTTTCAAACTGCTATTTTGTTGTGAACCTCATTACTATTATTATTTTTCTACCTCAGAATAAATTTTCCGACGAGAATGTGATCTGTGTCCTCTTACTTCACACTGCTTTGGGATGGATCTCATGTGTTGCTGCATCCCGTGTTTGTAACTACCAGCATGTTACAAGATGAGCAAAGTTTGGGTTTGAACATCAAATAAAAGCTGGAGCCAGATTACGATTGGTTGACACACATTCTTCCATACACAATGCAGTTTTCTGGCATCGATTGTTCGAAATCATGGTTCGTTGATTATCAGCACTCCAGTTGTCTGCACTGCTTCTGAGTGGTAGTTCTGCTCACTTCTGTGTTTGCGTCCACACAGCAGGATGGGCAGATCCGAAGAGCAGGAAAAAAGTCCCAGTGACGATGAACAACGCACCAGTGGAATAAAATATCTGCAATCCTAAAGGGGTAAGTACGCCGAGTTGCAAGCTGCATAGCAGTAATGCTATGACAGACAGTAATGCTATGACAGACAGTAATGCTATGACAGACTACTTTTTCATCCTAACCCGAAAGAAACAGTGCTTCCCATCCCAGTTCCTGCCTCCTGCATGAAAAGATGTCCGGAGTGAAAGGATTACCAGAGTCTAAAAGAGAAGGGTGCTGGTTGTCGGACCAAGAATTGAAAAAACCGATTTTAACGTCGCAACGAGCTTAAACTCTTCCGGCCGGTTCTTCATTAAAATATCAACAATTTAGCGCTCTGCGGGATTGTTTGGAAAGAGTAGTTCAGGGATGTCAAAGTTTAGGATACGGATGCGGTACTGCATGCATATATTGGCAGGAAGAGACAAAATTTGTTGGTTGTTCAAATGTCGAAAATAAGTTACGATTTGCCACTGGAACACAGTATTGTCAGGCGCAATTGTTGCCACAGCGAA